AGTAATAGTCCGAATAGTCGATTCATCGTTTCATTAATCGATAGATTCATCGATTATCAAATTAGTCGTTTGTTGCAGGCAGCCCTATTGTAGTTATCCCATGTATAAATAAAACGTGTTATTCAGCAACCCTTGCAATTTGGGATTTTATTTCTGGTTGGTAGACCTCGGTGAGCTGGTCATTTCAAAAGTAGCTCACCAGCCCAAAAAGTGTGGGCACCCCTGGTCTACTGTATACACAAGTAAATATAAAGAAACAAATAAGATTTGTTTTGATCACGCTTGTTCACCGTTGTTGGAGTGCAGCAGGCTGAGCAGTGTGTCCAGCAGGTAGCGGATGATGGTCCTCAGCTGCTCTGTGGAGGAGTTGTGGACCAGCTCCTGGACCTCCGGGGCCCCGGCTGTGGGGAGCGACCTGCGGCTGGCCCCCAGGGAGACCCGCAGCCGCTGCACTGCATGGTGAGCCAGGTTGAGCTGCAGCTGCAGCTGGATGCAGTCCTGGTAGGCGGAGAACACACGCTGGTCCTCCTCCACCACCTTGTCTGGCTTCCGTAAGAAGTACTGAGCATTGTTAGCACTGTTGAGAGGCGGCAGGTCGATGTTCTGCAGAAGCGTCTCCAGCCGATGGCAAGCTAGGTTGTATCTGGAAAACAGGAGTTCATTGAATGTGAATTAATTCACCTCAAAAAATTGTCCCCAACCTCTGCAAATATCTTCCTGTGTGACTAATATTTGCTAAAAATTGCAGTCGAGCTGTTTAAAAAATATATATCTTATTCTACGTTATGAGTGAGCTGTTTTTTAGCTTCAGTATTAACCAATGGGCTTGGAGTCAAAGGTCATGGACAGTAGTAGGAGTCAGAAAGTAATGAGGATTATAACATTGTTGGTTTGCTCCTTAGGTGTGATTTGATAATAAAAAAGTAAAATACTTTACTCCCATGCTTACCTGCACTGGATGTCCTCCTGCAGCGCCACCATCATGGCCAGATGCTGATCAACATCTGGCTGACAGGCGGCCTCGCTCTCTCCCTGCAGAGGATCGTGCATCAACTTCAGCTCACTCTCCCAGGGCAGGATGTACGTGTGTCCATAGTAAAAGCCCAGCGGGATCTTTGCCCGAGCATTGGTGCTGCCGTAGCGCCCGATCACAGTGATCTGTAGTTTAGAAAGCAAACAAGGAGAAGGCATACTTATGGTAAACAAAGAAAAGCAAGAAAAACTAACAACATTAAAGTCAGCCATCATGTGTCAATCCAAAGCAAAATACACACCTTCATGAACCTGCAGACAGGTGGGGGCAGCAGGTCGTGCAGAATGAGGGAGTGGGTGCTGATGTCGGTGGCCACCACCAGCCTGCGCCCGTCCACCTCCTCCCCCAGAGTCCAGATGTCGATGGACAGAGAGGCCAGGTCGGCGCAGGTCGGGATCAGAGCGTCAGTCAACAGCACCGGACGACCAAAGTCCAGCGTCACAAAGCGACGAGCTCCTAGGAGAAAGGACACCGGAAGTTAACTTTGGAATAATTGTACTGAGGTTTTAAAGATTGTATACGTTTGATTCCAACACACCACTTATCCACGACATACCAGAGTGCATCCTCTCTATGATGATGGACTGGTGTGGAGGAGGCTGCAGGAAGTGAGACGCCTGGGAGATGGCCAGAGCCAGACCACTTCCCATGGGGCTCTGCGGCAAAAACAAAACCGTATTTAACAAAAGAAAAAGAAGATAAATCTCTCTCGATGTCCTGTTGTCTGATTGCTAGATTATGGGTTTGACAAAAGTGTCTGTTTTAATTCAGGCATACATATTCAAAAAAGCATTATATATATTTACACATGTTGAACTATGAATCTTTTGATATTTTTAGTATGGAACGAATAGCTGATATTAGGGATGCTCCGATCCGGAATTTTGGGGCCGATCGCCGATAGGCGATCCGATCATAGGGTGGGTGGGGGCTATGGGGATCTTCCATTTTAAAGTGATTTTTAAAACTCAGTTAATGGGGCTCATTTTTATATTGCTTCAGTTTATAATCGTAACGGATCGAACAGTTCAGATTAATTTGATCATCATTAACATGATGCGCTTCCACAAACAACAACCAACATAATTATTACATTCAAATTAAGTACATTATTCAAGTTTACATTAACTTCGGATAATAACACGGGAGAAACGAGCGGAAGCTCTCTCTCTCTCTAAATAGTGTGTTAGGTCTAACTCTTGTGTTTTGCTCCGCTCACCGGTCCGTCACAGCGGGTGGAGCTGCAGGATTTCTGCTTCACACACGTTGCATACCGCTATTTTATTGTCTTTTTCGGATATGTTAAAATAATGCCAGACTGGTGAAGCCATTTTGGCGAGCTTGTTTTGTCGCGCACAGAGAAAAGTGTATTGTGTATTTTAGGTCATGTGATCGGCTCTCCTGATCGGCCTTTATAGAGAGCACCGATCGATCGGCCGAGAGTGAATATCGGTCGATAACGATCGGCGGTTGATCGATCGGAGCATCCCTAGCTGATATGATCAGCAACAAAAATACATTTAGGAATGAATTAGAAGTTTTGGAACCCATTTCATCACTGTGTATCTGTCTGCAAACCTATGAGAGTATATTTGGACGCCCGGATGAATAAAGGGAATGATTAACTATTATACAGTAAATCTCCCTCAGATATTGTTGTTTAACGGGTTATTTAATAATTGATTTGGCTTCCTTGTGTGTCTAGTGAAAAGGAGAATGAAATTGAGAAGGCATTTGTGTACTGGGTAGTTTTTAGTTGCTGCTAAAAAAGAATTGAGGCTTATGAGGCAGCCCCGTATGAAAGGCAGCTGTCACTAACTAAGCAGCATGAACTAACCAGCTTGGCTTTCTGTGTGTTCTTGTGCGCGGCCAGGTTGATGGGCCCGGGGTCCATCATGGAACCGGGGAACAGGTGAGCCAGTTCAGCGCTGAAGGCCGCTGACACCGCCTCGTTGGGCGGCGTGAGAGGAGGGGTCATGAAGAGGGGCGTCGTTTTTGGTGTGGGCGGGATGACGTCAGAGGGGTGGATGAAGAATCCCGGGGCAGAGGAGGGGTTGGAAGGCACACAGTTGTGGATGGTCCCCACGCCGGAGGCAGACGCGGCTGCAGAGGTGGTCTGATGCAGCTTGGCCTCCAGCTTGGCCTTCTGTTCGCAGCACAGACACAGAGGGGTTACTAATAGCGCATTTCCACTGCAGCGCGTACCACGGTTTAAGCGTGCCGTGCCAAACTCGGCCTGTTTTTGGTTGCGTTTCCACTAGGGGTAGTTCCGGCTAAGGGTACTGTTTCACAATTTTTCTGAATCTCCAAAATCCAGGTTCTTTCCGGGCCAACAACCGGGCTGAATATGCTAAACTAGTGAGAGAATCAAGGGGGGCTACAACTACAACAAAATGAACATATTTGACCGTGATTTAATTGTAATACACGTTTCAAAATGATGCCGAAGTAACAACATACTGATACCGGTTAGTAAAAACCATGAATTAATGCTTTGACAAGTCTGCAGACAGACGGCAGGCGAAAAACTTTTTAAAATGCGTGTTTTCTGAATGGAGATCGGCTAAGCTAACGCAGTATATGCTCCGACCGTCCACACTCACAACAACGGCCTACAGACATAAACAAACCAGCGACTGTACTCGCCATGACACAGACAGTCTGGGGTTTGTACTAGGGCTGCAACAAACGACTAATTTGATAATCGATTAATCTATCGATTAATGAAACGATTAATGGACTATTCGGACTATTACTGTATGCCTTGCACAATTTCTCAAACGCTCTTATTTAGCCATCAACTTTTAGATTTAGCTTGAGGTTGTTTTAGGCATGTGGAAACTAACAATGAAGACAATAAAGATCAATACTTGATTCAAAAATACATACATTATTAAATCAACTAAACACATTTTGAACAAAATTAACATGGCTTTTTATTTAAATTAAATAAATAATATTTCACATCTAAAGAAACAACAATG